ACAGTATAAGAAGTAAAGCCATGCTGCTATGTTGAGCTGTAGGGGACTCAGGTCAACAATTTCTGACATTGCCAGTCAAGTGGAAGACCCAATACTATTATGGACTACTGGACTGTTTTAGAATATTTTGCTGAGTTTACACACCTATAATATTCAAATAACGGAACTAAATAAAAAAGGGGATACAGATACATTTTGTATCTGTGTATTCAAAGCGGTTAGGATAGATATATAGTTACATTCTCTTAATGAATAGAGGGATCTGTTCTAATGGTGTTTGTAAATAGGATATCATGTACGCATCTTGTACAGCAATTAACCACTAGGAAGAAATGTATGCAATGTGTTAACTATTGAAACTGGCCTACCGATTTGGTTTGAAACTGTCTCATTGCTATTTGTTTCTCAATAAAATTAGGGGAAAAAAGTAAAGAGAAAAACAACATGGAATTTCAAAACATGGAAATTAACGGTTCTTACATTGCATGTTGGAAGTAGTTGCTCAGTTTGCAACATACAGGCATTCAAGGTTGATCAAATAATATAAGCACCAACTGTTCCTTTCAATGAACTAATAGAAATTAGTAGTACAATTATCTTAGCTCTCTTGTGCATATCTCTGTTTTTCACTCCTTCCCTCTTTTCTCCTATCCCTCACAGTCAATCTCAAACAGTCTACTAGTGGGTCTGCAGTCTGTCTAGGTGCAGCTGTAAAGGGGCGCCTTCTCTACCCCCACCCCGAATCCTGTTACCTGGGGTCTGAGGGCTCGGGGCGGTAGGTCCAGGTGACGCTCTGCGCGGCCACGTAGAACTGCCGGAGTACCCCCGCCGGGCCCGCTTGGACGCCCCAGCCCGCCAGGCTGGCGCCCAGGGCCAGCAGCACCCAGAGGTGCGCGCGGCCCGCAGACATGATTCTCGGCGCGGGTGCCAGGCGTCTGCGCCCAGGCCTCCTTCCTCCTGCCCTTGGGGCTGGTTCCCGCCGGAATCAGGGTCACTGCCCCAGGGCAAGAGGTATTGATTAGGCCGGCAGGCGGGACAGTGTCCCCGCTGGACCCTCCCAGGGGGCAGTGCCCGGCTCCCTCCCCGCGTCTGCGCTGCCTGCTGCCGAAGGCGCCGGGCGGAGATCCGACCCTCGCATTTCCCGCGCGGAAGAGCCGGCGCCCTCGAGCTCCGCGGGAGTCCGTGCCCTGTTTGTAGGCGCGGAAACCGCGGTGCTCTCGGGCCACCGACAGGGCCCTGAGTCACTTTACCAAGGCACAGTTCTGGGCAAGGACTTGTCACCCTTGTCACGGGGTGGGGTGGGGACAGCATGGGGTTGGCTGGGCTCCTCAGTGGTCCAGAATTCAATTCTACTTATTCCCTGTGTGGGGCGGGGCAAGCCACTCTGCCTCTCTGGAGTGGAGTTCCTCGTTCTCCTTTTTCTCCTCCTTTTTTTCTTTTAATGTCTTTCTTCCATATTTTAGGAAAAGACTGACTCCTTGACAAAGCAACTAACTATTGGTTTGAGCTTTTTATTTTGGTACCAGGAATGGAACACAGGGCCTCGCGCTTACCAGGCAGGCACTATGCCTCCGAGCTCCAATTCCTTCCCCAATTTTTATTTTACTTTATTTTTATTTTATTTATTTATTTATTTATTTTTTTGGCGGAACCGGGGATTGAACTCTGGTCCTTGCGCTTGCCAGGGAAGCGCTTATTCCACTAAGCCATCTCCCCGGCCCCCCAATTTTTAAATTTAAGTTTATTTTATTTTATTAGTACATGCTTGCAGTACCTGATGTTTACATAATGTGTGTGGATGGATACATGTAGGTAACACGTTTAAATTTTCCATCCCCCGTCCCTCCCCTCCCTCCCCTTCCACTCCCTTCATCTCTTGATTCTCTTCCCATTTGAGAAAGCTCTATTTTCCTATTAGCCATCTTTTCTTTCGCTCTTGATTTATATTTTAGACTTCTCATGTAAGAGACACCACCTGGTATTTAAACTTGTCTGATTTATTTTACTACTTTATGGTCTCAAGGTGCATCCACTTTCCTATAAATGACCCAAGTTTCTTTTCCTTTATGGCAGAAGGCAGAGTGGTATTCCGAGGTGTGCGAATGCCACGTCCTGTTTATCTGTTCCTCTGTTGACAGGCACACTGGCTGCTCCCAAGGTGTAGCTAGTTTCTAGTTGTGCTGCTGGGAACATGGATGCGTGCAACACGGTGTGTGATCTCTTTAAGTAGAGTGCAGTTTTGACATCTGCAAACAAATGGGAGGAGATTAATCTTTCCTGATAGGCTTACTGGGAGGACAAAAGGAGCCTACTAACAGGATTCCTAGCACTTATAGAGCGCACAGTGTGGGTTTATTTCTGATACACTTCCTGCCCTCAGGGATTCTGATGCTTCAGGAAGGAGCTTACCGTCTGGTCCTGCCTTGAATTTTATTTTCCCGTGCGTAGAGGATCTGAGAAGTGTGCTGTCTGAAACATCAGGATGGCCTGAGGTTCTGCCTGAGCTTTATGGCACCAGCACACTCAGCAAGTGGTCTCCGGGTGAAAACTCGGGCAGTGACGTCAGGCTCCTGGGCACGGTACTCCCTGCTCTGTCTGTCTGCTCATTTGCTGATAGCATTCGACATAGAGGGCCCATTCTCTCTCTCTTTCTTTGCACAGTTTTTAAATCTGCTATCTTACCCCTCTTCCTGATTTTAGACACAATTTTGACTTTTCCATTTTGCATTTTCCAGTACTACTATTCAAATTATAATTACCAGTTAGCTTCTATTCAAATTATAATTACCATGTAACTTTTTGTGGGGAGGTGCTAGGATTGAGCCCAGGGCCCTTGCACTGAACTGCATCCCCAATCCATTGTTTTCTTTTTTATTCTATTGTATTCTACTTTGTTTTTTCTATTCTATTCTATTCTATTCTATTCTATTCTATTCGGAGACAGTCTTGCTAAATTGCACAAGCTAGACTTGATTTTGGGACCCCCTTGCCTTACCTCCCAGAGTGTTGGGATTACAGGGTGCACCACTACATTCAGCTACCCTTTATCATTTTATGTAGGTACTTATTGAATCCCCCAACTAGAGTATAAGCTATTTAAGGAAAGAACAAGACCTTATAGTTAGTTGTACAGCTACAAAAGCAGTGGTTCCCAAAGGTGTTAGACCATCAGAATTCCCTAGGAGCTTCTCTAAGTGCAGATTCTGACTTGAGGGACGTGGTTGAGAACCACTGTTATATAATACCTAGCCTCATGACTGACACACAAGGATTGACATCAAGGATGCTATTGGTAGTATCTCTGGGAAACTTTTGGTAAGTATCTTGTCCCTAAGTCCCAATATTGCTACCAAAATTCTGACACAATCCCTGTAGCCCTTTAACCCTTTTAGTATTTACATTCGTATTTGCTGTGTGTATTCAGTCTACCAGACATAGTCATCGGATCACATTTCCTTGCAACAAGACAATGTATTGTTTGGATCTCTAATATGTGCATTAATTTCAGGTAAGCACTGTATAATTTTGTGACATATTTATTAAACATGTGATTTAAATAACCAGTAAAACACATCCATTCTCTGTAAAACATTAAGATGAAGGTTTTTTCTACTTCTCTGATTTTCTCACGTTGATGGTAAACAACGTGATATACACAGCTCATATAGCACAGAACATAAATAGAGGAATATGGTATGTGGCAGGGGAGTCTTTCATTGTAGGTTTGAATATTGATCTTTGGGTTCTTCAGTGGAGGGAAGGTTCCACGATAACGTGGTTCCTTTTTTTCCGTACCCTCTGGCGCCATCCAGAGGCTTTTCTAGAAATTTCAGCAGCATTTCAAGGACCCACAGATGCAGCAACCGCTGGGAAATCCTGGAGATCCTAAAGGAATTCTCTTGTTAAACACGCTTCTGCCTTCCAACAGCATAGAAGATGCCTACTTTCAACCCCAGAGTTATGCGACAGCTCCCTTTCATTCCTGCACCGTCTGGTCTCCTAGTGAATCAGATGCTCCAGTCTCTTTGACTAACTCGTACTTCCGGAACAGCCAGGTACAAGTTCACAGACCACAGTCAAAACATCTGCTCCTGGCTTCTGTGGCTTGTGTCTTAGGAAGAGGGGGGGAGGATCAGGAAGAAGGTGGGTGGAGAGGCGAGAATGTGGCACAGTCCTGCTGCGCTCTGGTCCAGAGCAAATCTAAAGGAGTGTCCTTGTCCTTTATCCACACCGTGTACAGAAGCCTGTAACAGATGTGCTACAGATGAGGTCAAGTGTAACAGGAAGTTTTGTGTTCCTTAGCAGGATCCTGAGAGTCTGGAGGAGGCCACCAGGAAAAAGGTATGTCTCTGAAAGTAAAACCAAAGAAATGAAAGTAAGAATCATTTCCTTAAAAAAAATGAAACAAAGCAAGAAGTCTTCATCACATCTATCGCGTGAAGCTCAAAATGAGCTCTTCCCAGATTCCAGATTTTCTGCCATCTGAGCTACTTTTCTTAGGAAATTCAGTATTTGAGATAAGGCTGGCATCAGATTATCTTTGTTTCCCCAGCAGGTGGCATTAGGGATAGTAAGGCAGCACCATGCTGGCAACACCAGATAGCGGCCGAGAATGAGAATGTCACACAGCCTGGAATAAGTTAGATATTCTTTTGAATGGAGATATTTAAACAAAGTCACTATTATTCTTGTTGCCAATATAGTTTCCTTTGTGGCCTGAAAACTTAATACTTAATTAAAATTGAATACATGATTAAGTGAAAACAAGCTTTCTATCGTTCTACTTCCTTAAAAAAGCCAAGTGTGAGGGCACATGCTTTTAAGCCCAGCTCTCAGGGAGGCGAAGGCAAGAGGATCACAAGTTCCAGCCTACCCTAGGCAACTTAGCGCCTTAGTGACATTCTGTCTTGAAATAAAAAAGGGCTGGGGACATAATTCAATGTGAAGGCCCTGGATTCAATCCCCAGTATGAAAAACAAATAGGCAACTTACCTTAAGGGTTTGGGTCAAATGCAGTATTTGTGAAAACTCCGTATGTACCTAGGTGGCTGAAAAATAGAAACATGGATACTTTTTAGTCCTCAACACAATCAGACACAGAGATATTCTATCAGTATCTAAACAATGGCAGTACTGTCCCCCCTGACTTTTTTCTGCCGATGTACTGTGAGCAGGGGCCAAGTCTACTGGTTGTTCAAATAGGCACAGGAGCTAAAAGAACTGTCCTGCAGCCCATGTCACTTTGCAACATCTGTTCAATATGCACATGGGCAAAACTCACTGAGCCTAGCACTGACCTGCTCTACATATAATTAAGTGGCTTTGGCATCTTTTACATGAAATTGCTACATGCATCAAGAGAAGATTATAACAAGCCTTACAAACCTTTGCCAAAGTTGTACTGCTCTGAAAAAACAAAGCTGTTGTTGGCTATGCCTGCAACGCTGCTCGTGTCACTAATATAGCATCCTCGCAGGCTGCCTAACGGGCTGCTGCTTCATTGCAGTTCTGCTGGGGAAGCCCTGCAAGCTCCTACCAACCCCACAGCAGCTGCTAGCATAATGCGGAACTTTTAGCACTTTGTTTCTCTTACAAATCACTTTCATTGATTTTTTAAAAATTTTTAAAATTTATTTATTTATTTGGTACAGAGTCTCAGTATGCAGCTCAGACTCATAGTGATCCTCCTGTCTCAGCCTCCCCAGTGCTGGGATTACAGGTGTGTGCCACCATGCCCAGTTTTAGTAGCCACCACAGTGAACCTGGGGTTCCTGGGCCAGCACAGCATGTGGTACTGGGGATCAAACCCGGGTCCTTGTGTTTGCCCGGCAGGCGCTTAGACTGCTGAGCTATCTCCCCAGCCATCCTTGACATTTTAATTAGGGCATTTTTTGATCTTTACGTTTAGTGTATTTGGAATATATCATCTGCATATACTTCAGGATAGGAAAATGGCATGGAAAATATTTATTGTAAAAAGAAGGCAGCCATTATATATTATGGTTTATATCTGGTTATCTCCCCCAAAGCCCTACATGCTCCTAGATAAGGCTTTGGAGGGTGACTGGGTCAGGCGTGTGTTGTACTGGATTAGTCCTCAGATTTGCTTAGCATAGTTCTGGGTGTGGGTGATGTGTTTCGAAAAGGGAAGACTGACCCTGGTGTGAATGCACAAACCAATAGGCTTGCAGCCTGGATGGAATGAAAAGTGAACCAAGGAGCGTTTCCCTGCTTCCCGGGTAGCGTGCCACGATCCGCTTCTCCTTGCTCATGCCCCTCTGCCATGCCCCCCTGCCTTCAAGCCAGGGTTAAACCTCTACAAACTGTGATCTAAAATAAACCTTTCCTCCTTTAACTTGTGGGCGTCGTGTATTTTGTCCCAGCAATGAGACAGTGACTAAGACACTGCATGACCATCTTGCTCTAGTGGATGAAAACTAGCAAAATGTTCCCAATTACGGAACATTTCTATCTTACCTGTGAGGGCTCAGTGGACATTTTCCATCATCTGAAATAAGAGAGAAAATAGGAATGATTGGTTTAAAGAGAAAACAAATTATATGAAGGGAAAGAATCAGTAGTAGTAGATATTATTGGGGAAAGTCAGTAGACCAATTTTTAAACAGGTTTATTCCATGAAAGCATTGGAAACCATGTTTCCCTGAAAGGCAAGGCTTATTTTAGACTCAATGAAATATTTTACAGTATTTATCTCTAGTGTCCTCTCACTTCCTTCCTCTTGCTTTTCAATACAATCCTCACTCCGCTGAGACCTACAGCTCCTACGTCCTAGACGGCCCTGTGGCTGTGTGATTTGTGGCATTCTCACTGTCTGGGCCTCCTCATTCCCTTGGCTCCAGAGAGGCAAGCTGATCACGCAAACAAATCTAAACCAACAGGGCAGTTCGGATTTTCCTTCGCTCTCCTATATGTGAGCAGGCATTTCCTATCATAATCCAAGCAGGATTCTCACAGTCGTATTTTCACACATGGCTTTAATATTTATCTATTATTTGGCCACAGAAAATTGGAGAGTCTGAAAATCAAGTGGGATAAGACCAGGAAAACTCTCCCATCCCTAGGAAATGAATTTATCATTAGAGGTATCAGAGTCCATTTCCAACTTAGAAATGTTTAGCAGAAGGGAAAACTCTGAGGAGACAAGACTATAAAATGCAAGTTTGTGTCCTTCCAGGGCTAGATTGTAAGATGAGAGAGAGACAGAGACAGAGACAGAGACAGAGACAGAGACAGAGACAGAGACAGAGAGACATGAGATGGAGCAGCAGGGAGAGAAGGAGGAGGGAGGAGGAGGCAAAGAGGGAGAGAGGAAGAAGGAAGGAGAGGGCAGGAGGGAAAGTGTGACAGGAGGGATTGGTGTGATTCCTACATGATTTGGGAGGTTAGGGTTCAGGTTCTAGGAACTCTTCCTCCTCCTGGGTTTGGTTCAGTAAACAAAAATTTTGCATAGAGGCATATTTTGCAGATCTTGAGTGGAGAGTGAGAAGGGGATGGAAGATGCATCCCTGAGGCCAGGCAGCAAGAACGGCTGCTGTAACTCTTGAGTCCGGTGAGGATTCTAACTGCCACACCTAGGGACCAGGGCTTGAGCATCCATTGCACACTGATGCCCTCATTACTTTTTTCTTTTATGGTTATTAGTACATATCTGCAGAATGTAATGATCATGTTCACTGTGAGAAGTCGCTACGTGCACATGACACACTTTAGTTCTTGTTACTTCTCCTCCCCCTGGTTAATTTTTAGGAGTAGTGATAAAAAAGAGTCATATTTTCTCATAGACAAGTTTATGAAATTATGGACCAGCTAGCTGTCACAGCAGGTTGAGAAAGGGTACCTTAAACCGTGAGAGGTGAGTGGGTCCCTTCTTTTATTTCTACACAAAAGATCTTTTTTTTCTGATGAACAGTTTCCCTTACAGAGGGTCCTATCAATGTAGTCACTTCCCTGATCAAATCCTGCATCAACTACACAAGGGTGCAGAAGAAAGTGGGGATGTACAAGCTGAGCATGCCAGATCTCTACCAGCAGCTCCTTGCAGCTCTCGCTTCATCACCTGCCTCCTCCCTCAGCCCCTTTGAACTCAGATGGACTGGACTGTCGCAATATTCTCCAGGACATTGCACTCTTTCATGACTTGTCGCATGCTGTTTTCTCTACTGGAACTCTATTTCCCTTTTCCTCCATTGGCCAAATCCCTCTCATTCTTCAAAGCTAAGCTTGAGCAAAACATTCTGACCTAACAGTCTAGTTTAGTCATCCTATTCTGTGTTCTGGGAATAACTGAGTCACATTTTTGTCATCACACACTTACTTACCCCTCTTTAGTGTATGCAAAATTTAACTTGTCTGTCTCCTCTACCTTGATGGTGGGAACTATCCCAATTGGTCCCTTTGTCTATCAGAGTAATCTATCAATGGCTGGTGTTTGAACGAATGAATGAGGGGAGAAAACATCTCCTTAGTTAGTTTTGGGGATTCTGGAGGACCCCCAAATGCTGACCTGTAAAATTGCCTCACCAGAATTTTTTATACCTAAATTTAAAACATTCAGATTAGTAGACCCATTCCAGATCTCACTGTAGAATTGTCTGTAGTTTTATGAATGTCCCAGGAGGTTCTGATAAGACAGTCAGTCCTCTAGATCATTTGCCTTGTTTGCTTTCTAGAAAGTGTTTACAAACCTGAACTACTGAAGTTGTGGCTTTGTCACCCCATCCCAAATCACATTTAAAAAAAAGAAGAGGAAGACTATTTACCTTTTTTTCTGAGACGCTTTCTTAGCAGAGCCAGAAGGGTCCCACCCATGGCCAGACCTGTGGTGGAAGCCACTGCTCCACCAGCGTAAGTCAGAGCTTCCTGGATAGTCAAGGCCTCCTCTGCAAAAGAAACACACATAAGTCAGGGATAAGAAGTGTCTGTGCAGAAGACCAGTCATTTCTAGAAGGGTCCAAAGAACTCTGAGGCTAGAGGTCAAGTGGGCTTGTTAAAGGTCTTGCACATGCTGATCAATTGGCAGGAAAAAGAATCTGGAAACCAGACATCCATGGCACCAGTGTAGAGCTCAGGGCCTGCATGTATCTCTACAGCCTCAGTAGTAAATATAATTTCTGAATGGGTCAGGGTAAGGACCCAATAAAGGAATTAATTTGTAAGCACAAAAAAAATCCACATATGGGAGTTTGAGGAAATAAAGCATGGGTAAATCTTTTGGCAATCAACAATTGAGATACTCAAGAGAAAGCAGTCATAACAAACTTCAAGGAATAAAATGGGGAGGAGATGGGGGCTGAAATAAAGCTTGCAAACAGCACAAGGAAAATCTGTAACATTTTAGAGGAAAGGTTGTACACAGGAGTCTTCTGAGATAATGAGTTAAGTATTTTCAACAAAAAATCTCAGTTTCACGCGTTTTGAAACTTCAAGATATGTTAAACAGAGAAGATGAAGAAGTGAGAAGGTCATGCATACATCTGAGCACTACAAGGAGTGGCGTTTGTCTGCATAGTCACTGAATTGAACTCCGACTGCTCTGTATAAAGCAAGGAGATTGTATCTGACTCATTGTGAAACATTCATTAATTAAGCGGAAACCCAGCGGTGGAAAGGAAGATCACTGTGAGAAATATTCAGAGATGAGACACTGATTTTGTGTTTCTCATACTGAGGTGGCTTCCTAAGACGTGAAGCATGTACCTTGGCAGGTAGGCGTGGTGGCTGACCAGCGGCCGTTGTCCTGGCACGTCGCTCTTGCAGAGCCATTGAGTAACTGACCCTCTGGACAATGGAAGGTGCAGTCTGAGCCATAGTGGAAATTTCCCCAGGGATGGGAGCAGTTCATCACTAGTGGATTATTAAGGTGCAGTTCAGGGCATTTGATGGCTGCAGGAATAAAAAGTACAGGAGAAACAGATAAGTAGAATGAAGGTAAATGAGATTGGGGTTCTATTTGTTACCTATTGCCAGTAGCTAACAGAGAATATAAGTTCAGAAAGTAAATCAGCCACTTGCAGTAGTCACATCAGCTTCTCTAATATCACACCTGTGAAAGTAGCCACTCAAAGAGTGTTGGTCAAAGAATAGGTGGATGCGAGGTAGCATCCAATAAATATTTGCTAATGGTTTGATCTTGCCTCCAAAACACTACTTACAATTACTATCCTGTCTCTCAAGACTACCATTCTTCTAAGTATTATTATTTGTACCTTGGTGATTAACTGGCATGGCAGCATATAGTGCTCAAGTATTTCATAAGCATTTAGTGTTCATCTGGACACTGGCAGTTTGAGAGAATTAGAGAACATTTCTCTTTTTCAGTTAGCCTCATGGTAAGGAGGATGGGAGGACTTAGCCTTATGGCCAGGACAGTACATTATAGCATGATTAGGAAATTATATTGAATTTGAGTAAATATTGTTGAGCAGTATTGACATTTGTAAAGCTCTGAATATGCTTTTGGGGGGATGTGAAGTAAAAAGAGACATGGGGCTCCATGCTCCAGGTGTAGGGGACAGGTCTCAAGCGACATTAGAAGGTTTAGCTATTTAGCTACTAATTATTAGAAAGTGCACTGTTTTTACTGTCACCCAATTCAAATATTACAGCTTCACAGTTCATGCTGTTTATTTCACATTCACCATACTTATAGTTCTAACACACTTTAGACATTTGTGTTAGTTTTCTCCTTTAGGTCTGGAGGGAGCACAGGTGATGGGCCTGCTGCTCACTGCTTGTGGCTGGCATCAGTGGAGTTTCGTGGAGGATGTTATACTTGTCACGGTTGTTGGGCTGGGTGGGATTCAACAGGCAGATACAGCATGAGACTGAATGCATCAGAACTGCTGCGCTGAGCTTACCTTTGCATTCCGGCACCACTGACGTCCATTGTCCTGAAGGCCTGCATCTCAGAGCATTGCTCCCTATGAGTGTGAAGCCAGCTCTGCATCCAAAGTAACAAGTGGTATTGAAACCAAAGGCTCCTGGGTGATGCCTGCAGGACATTGTCCCCTGCCCAGGGGTGGCAAGGGCTGGGCATCGCACCACAGGAGCGGGAGCCGATCGTACAGCTAGGGCAAGAAAATGTTTCAATTAGAGAACACCCAATTAAAAGAATTGTGTCCAAGTTAGTGACTAATACATAGTAACTGCCTCTGCTCCTCTTCTTTCTAATAAGGGACATGCTAGCAATAAGAAAGTTATGAAAAACTATTATCTATTTATTTTGGATATAGAAAACCAGATGAGGAGAAGTATTTAAAAATGTCCCTGAAGTGACCACAAGAAGAAATAGGTCTGGGGCTGGGGAGATGGCTCAGTAGAATAAGCACTTCCCTGGCAAGCGCAAGGGACTGAGTTCAATCCCCAGTTCTGCAAAAAAAGAAAAAAGAAGAAGAAACAGGTCAATATTACCAGTTCTTTTTAAGAAGCAGCAGAGAAGTTGGTGCAGAAACACAGCAATTCGGTAAAACATCAAATTTACAAAGGCTAATCATGTATCTTCCCCTGCTACTTTGGAAGGGGATACTTTGCTCTGGTCAAAGGTCAACATGAAAGGTGAAATGTGAATGATGCCACTGGCTTTGTCACTAATTTGACATGTGGCAGGAACATAATAGCAGATTCCTTTGTGACACTGTTGAAAAATTAGACCCTGGGATTCTCTGACCAACAATGTAATGGAAAGCATTCAATTTTCACAATAAAGCTAAGCAAAATAGGTTAAAGAAATGAAACAAGTTTTACATAAAAATTAGTCACTTATTTACAAACATAAACCATCCTGTCATTCCTTAGAAAACTTCTTAGCCCACAGGCTGTATTTGTTATGCCAGAATGGTGTTATAAATATGTACCTGTCATATACAAGAGCTATGTAAATGATTTTTGTCTTTGCAGAAAAAAATTTCAATGAGTAGGACAGGCCCAGTGAACACCACTGATTACCTTTACAAGTCGGCAGAGGCACTGACCAGCTTCCAGAAGCTGTGCATTCTGCATTGTTGGAGCCCTCAAGCTTGAAGCCCTTGTCACAGGAGAAATGGCAGCTGGAGCCGACACTGAAGTCTTCATTCACATGAGAACAATCCAGCGTGCCCCACTGTGGGGCAAAGAGTTCTGGGCACTTGATAGCTGCAACATCAAATTCAGAGTGTCATGATCTCCAAGTGTATTCTCAAGTTCTGTGATTCACAAAGTTCATTCACTCACATATTTGATAAATATTTACAAAAGGGTCATGGGTATAGCACAGTGGCACAGCAACCCCCTGGCAGCTGCAAGGCCCTGAATTCAATTCTTGGTATCAAATAAATTATTGAAAATCTGTTGTACTTCCAGAGTTCTGCTAAATATCTGGCATTTACTACAGAGGAAGGGATGGTAGATTTGCAAAGAGGAGAGCATACAGGGATCATCAAGAAAGGAAGTTGAGGATTTAAGCAGCCATACTCTAGATTCACAGCTCCACCCTCTTTTGGCCTACGTGCACTGCTTCAGAGACTTTCTGGCCTTGTACAGCTCTACTGTGTTATCTGAGTGGCTACAGTCTAGAATGTCATGTCTGTCTTTCCTCCAGCCTGACACCACTTCCCCTAAGATCTCCAGCCTTCTCTTAATTTCAATACATTAGCAACTGTAATGACCACCTTATGCCATAAATGATTTCCTCTATTTGCATCTTTAGGGTGGTTTTTCTACCACAGTTTCACAGCAAAAAAAGAGCTCAAAACTCCTGGTCAAGGTAGCTAAGCTCTGAGGAATGCCAGGTGTGTCGTTGGCTCTCACTGCCCTGTATGTCCTCTGTTTCCATTGGATCCAACTCATCAAGCCCCTCTGAAGCCAGGACTCATGCGGCCGGAGGTCTCCTCTGCACACCTCAGCATTTTGCTTGAATTTATCTGTTCCTATATAATTTTCATATCTTTTCTCTTCTGCTGGACAGAAAGCTTCTACAGCCCAAGGATCATGTGTCATGGTTGCCCATAATTCCCACTGCAGGATCTCCGTAGGGGGTGGGGAGATTCAATAACCAAATGCCAGGTAGATGAATATATCAATTTTTAATTTAGCCACCCCAGTTCTTCCTCAAAATTGTTTCATATATGATTGCTGAGAGTGATGCTTGGGGTAAAAAAAATCCGGGGACTCAGATATACGGGGAAAAGAGAACAGGAGTGTGCCAAATTCTAGAGCTTAAATTTGGAAAATGAAGTAGGAACACAGGCAAAATAACAACTTAGATCTCAAAATCAGAATAAAGGTCGGCAGTTCTGAGAGTCATCTTTGGTTACAGGCATCATCCATGGTCAAGATCAGCCCTGGAAGGGCTGGGATGGCTGGGCCCACAGAGGAGAGGCAAATGCCAGTTCTTGTGGGGGAAAAGAGGGTTGGACAGAAGTGAAAGCAAATTGGGGCTTCAGAGATTACAGATATAGCAACCATAGTGTTTGCATAGATGACTTAACACTGACAGGAGATATTTTTAGAGAGTTTTGATTCTTTGACCTTAACACACAATATCAGGGAATGGAGTCCCTGAAAAACATCATTGGAATGAGTCATTAGAGAGAAAAGAGAATGAATGAACAAAGAAAAAGCACAGCCTCGATGTTCCTTGATGTTTCCAGGGTGGCTTGTGAGATTTCACAGCAGGTGTATGTGTTCCACACCGTTTCCCCTACAGTATTCTTCAGGAGGGAGGAGGCCTCAGAGATGATCCTGCCCACCCCTCTGGGTTTTTTTTTTTTTTTCTCTTTTTTTTTTTTTTTTTTTTTTTTTTTTTTAACAGAAAACTGAAGCTTAAGAGAGTGACAAGACCTTAATGCCATGTGAGGGGGCACCAGTCTTGGAATAGTAATCTAGTGCTTGTTGCACTAACATATTTCTACTAATATAATCTCTCATCTGATTGCCACATTACCTTTACTAAGCAGTTAAGGTTTCAACTTATGGAATGGAAAAGAGTAAATTTAAGTGACAGACCCAGGGTTTAGCAGCCTTGCCACTGGGTGGCAGTATAGTGTAAGGGTGAGGTACACCTTATACTCAGGCCTAGGTTGGAATCCTGCCCTCACAGCTTCCTAGCTATATGTCTTAGCCAGCTATTTATTCTCTCCAAAGCTCACTTTCATCTTCAGAATGGGGATAGTAGTATGCATTTTAAGGGGAAGAATGGCTGTGTGAAAATTCCCATGAACAGCTGTACTACACAAGCAATGAATATTAGCTGTTACTTCCAGTCTTGTTATTACTGGCTAAACTGAAGATTGCACTGGAAGAGCAATGATGCCTTTTGAAGCTGAAGGGGAGGTATGAGAGACTATGCATTAAGCAAGATACTGTGCTGCGTGTGCGTATGGGTAGATAAAGATGGACAAGATGCACTCTGCCTTTGAGGACTCTACGAATTCATGGTTAATAGGGCTTGTGCTTAAGGAAGTTTTAAGGGTAAACAATAAGCTTCAGTAGAACAGCTGTTTGTATGGAGCACTCTGTTCTACCTAGCTGCTGCAGAAGACATAACAAGAAGGAAGATTAGCTCCTGTCTTCAAGTGCTTTATAAACCATAGAGAAGTGGAGGGCAGAGTCAGTGTACAGTGAGTCTGCAGTTAAATCACACCTACCTTGGAAGGCTCAGTGCGTGGAACTTAGTGTTCAGCAAAGGTGGTACATTAGTGAATGAATGAATAAATGAATAAATATATGATTTAATGGTGTCACAGAAAAGGACTGTATAATAAACTAAAACTTTTAGTGAAATAATGGAGTTTTATCACTTTCACTGTGTGACTTTGGACAAGTAACCTAACTCGTCTGATCCTGTGTTTCTTCCTCCTCTATAAAGTGGAAACGATGCTGTGGTTAACATGGATTATGATGATGTAAGAGTACTTCATAAAACTGTGGTATGTTTGTCATAATGTATTACAAGATCATTCAGGAAAGGGAAGGAGGGAGGGAGAGAGAGAGAGAGAGAGAGAGAGAGAGAGAGAGAGAGAGAGAGAAACACTCCTTAGTTTATATTGCCACACTTTAGCTTAAGAACACATTCGTGGAACTCCCTGATGCTGCTCCATCCCAGTGTTGCCTGATAAACTGTAAGAAGGAACAGACCCAGAACCTACCTGTACATGTTGGGGGGGAGCCTGTCCAATGCCCAGATGGAGTACAGTCCATTCTTTCTGACCCAGATAAAGAAAATCCCTCATCACAGGTGAAGTGGCATGTGGATTTGTAGCTAGAACTCCCAAGAGGTTGGATGCAGCTCATCATTCCATTCTGAGGGCCTAGCAAGGGGGTGCAGGTAGTAGCTGCAGTAGGCGTGGTAGGGGAGAGAAGAGACCAGGTTAGAACTCAATAGCCCTTCACCAATGGTGTGTGTGTGTGTGTGTGAGAGAGAGAGAGAGAGAGAGAGAGAGAGAGAGAGAGAGAGAGAGAAGGAGGGAGAAGGACAGAGACAGACAGACAGAATACACAAGCACAGCAGTGCTGGGTTAAGGTGAATACTCCAATTTTCCAATGCGGTCTCCTGGTAGAGGTTATGCAACTACAAGACAGCAGTTAAGAGTTGATTGATACTCAGAAATGCTATGCACAGAAAACTAGGGAGGGGATTTCAGGAGGCACTTGGGGCTGCATTTGGAGAGCTAATGGTGCAGCTTCTTTTGGCCACCCTGGACAGGAGTGGAAGTGGTTGCCCCTGCTACCTCCTTCCAACACACACCTAATGACCTGGCCAGAGAACAATGACAAGGGAATGGAAACAAAATGGGGTGAATTGCTTTTCTCCTCTCCCCATCCAGATGTTGGAAGGAATCTAGGTTCATTTTGCTCTTTGCTAGCAATGCCTAGCAATGTATCTCTGCATACTATATATCTAAGCCTCAGTTGGTGAGCCTCCAAATGCTAACCAAGCCCAGCTCCCCTTAGTTTCCAAGATCAGATGTGATTGGGGAAGGTTCACAGTGGCGTTATGGCTTTTGGGGCTTTGCCTTTGCCTGGAACAGGTGAGAAGACATGGAGAGGAGAGTGAAAAAGAGAGTTGTCTGCTAACACTGTCAAGAGTATTGCAACAGCCAGGAAGTGGATTACAAACATCAAGCTCCCTTCCTGTGCAGACCACACTTGGGTATTGCACTTGATGCATACCCAGAAACAGGAGGAGAGAGATCAGTCAGAGTAAACAAAAAGTGAAAAGCAGAAGGGAAATTGGAAAGTCACAGGAAGCTGAGGTGAGTGGCAACCACATCAGTGAAATAGCCCAGGCTGGACAGTATGGAGTAAACTGTGCCCTACACAGCCAGCGCTGCTCAGAAGGGCTACCATTTCTGTGATAGCTCTCCCGGTGACTCCCAGCTCTCTTCCATGGCTGTGTGGACTTAGACACATAGCCATGCTTCACTGTGGCCAGAATGGGGTTGGGGGACAAGGTCACACCCCCATTAGTTCTCTCCAGACCCAGAACTGGGTATCTCAACTCTGGGGCTTGCCATGCTCTCTGGGCCATGAAAGACATTCTATTCTGCTGTGCTCATTTGGCCACTTGTTCATTAATTAACTCAATTATTTATTCATTTACTATGGGAGGGGAACATAACAGTGTGTGTGTGTGTGTGTGTGTGTGTGTG